GACACAATGTGGAGGAGATCCAACGCTGGCCCCCAGCCAATTGCCACCATGTGCATGACCCGCAAGAATGGACCCCCTACACCTCTGACGGCCAGAGGTTCTACCCATCCAAAGAAGAGGCGGAGTACACAGCAGTCCTTGCCTTTGCCATCGCAGGGTCGGCTAGCTGGTGGGCAGTCCGCACAGGTTTAGCCGTCCTGAATGTCCCACGCATGCCTACGTTCATGTCAGTGGGACGCCGTGAGCACTGGCTGGATATGGATCCGCGCGCAATGCGGGAATGGGCAATGGCACCATTGGCAGTGACGCTGGGCCTCACAGAGTCCCTGCGAGCTGAACGACCGGGGTTACCGGTCAGAAGGCTCGTCAAGGAGGTGATGATCGAGAACAACAAGTTGCCACGCAAGACCATTTATGTCGGCCGAGGCAGCTTTCATCATCGCCTGTCGACAACCAAGTGGAAATCGCCATGGACACCAGGCCACAACTGCGAAGCCGCTGAATGGCCAGCCAGGTACATTGTCCACATCCGAACATCACCTTTGTGGGACGCCTTGCATGAGCTCAGCAACATGGAGCTGGCGTGCGACTGCCCCATGGAGCACCTGTGCGAAGCGGACATGCTCATTGGTCTCTTCTTCGATGCAACCGCACCTGGGGGCGACCCGATGCAGAGGGGCACCGATGGCCGATGGAGCAGGACGTTGGCCTTGCTGCAGGGGATCCAGGCTATTCCCAGAGGGGTAGCCCTACCCATGATGAGCCAAGAAGCACTGGTGTTAGCATTTCAAAAGCTTTTCCCCGAGCACTGGTTCAAGAACTACAAGTTTGCAATGATTGAAGACCTCATCAATAGCCCGCCCTTCTGCTCATATGCCACTTGGCTAGCAGAGCGAGGAGAAGCTTGGGATGGGCCCCTAGTCCCGCATCTTGCTGCTGGGTCAGTGAGACAGCTTGCGCGGATTGGGGATGGGTGCCAAGTGGGTGCGATGACACACCGTGCAGCTTTGCCCCCACTGCTGCCGTTCAACTTGGACCCTGATGACCACTTCAACCAAGCAGTCCAACGAGCCCAGCAACCATTGCCCTACGAAGATCTCCCAGTCGTTGACTTGGACCTGGAGTTCGTAGCAGATGCCTACGCAGCACATGGCCAACAATTGCGCCCGTGGCGACAGCATGCAGTAGGGGCAATGCGCGAGCTGAAGAGACGCTGGGAGGGGGTGGCCCTCCACTTGCGATCTTTTCAAGAGCCGGCCATCCAGCAGGTGACACGGCACCGCGATGTGGGGTTCATTGCATTGCTGATGCTGCTGACATCATGGGCCGACACCAGCTTTCCCTATATGGTTTGATCCGTGGGCTACCAGCAGTGGGATACGCACCACCCTATGGGATTTTCCCCCAGCAACCAGCTGAGGTGATCAGCATGGCAGACGTGCTGGATGGATGGCAGGAACATAATCAGCACATCTTGAGCCAGCTGAGAGCAGGCAAGGATGATGAGTTCCTCCTGCAGCAGTCTTTGGAGGACGCAGCAAATGGCTTCTGCACAGCGCCCTTGCGACGGACAGATTTCCTGCGGTCCATTGGCAACAAGGCACATCGATTGATCCCGCGTTGCGTGATCACGCAAAGCTCCGGCAAGCAGCGTGTGATCGACAATGGTGACACTGGAGGACAATCAGCCTTGTCGTCTGATGCTAACAAGCTCACATTGTGCAGTCCATTGCGTCCTGCCCAACACATTCGCCTAGCAATGCATCGTTGGACAGATGACGAGATAGCAGACTTCTTCGCGCACGATGCCTGGGAGACAGGACAAGAAGATCTGCCTTCAGCATACAGGTATTGCCCTATGGCATTGCAGGAAAGCCTGGGCTGCGTGGTGGTGTGGTACCATCACGAGTGGCAAACCCCTGCATACCAAGTATACGCTGGGCTGCTCTTCGGGCTGCCGCTAGCAGTTACCTCCTTTAACAGATTTTCCGGGCTATTGGAGGCGCTAGCTAGGCGCTTTTGCCGAGTTCTGACATCCCTGTACTTTGATGATGCGACCATTACAGACTTGCGATCCTCAAAAGGGTCTGGCCAATGGGCCATGAATCAGTTGTGTTCTCTTATCGGCTCCCCCTTCGCCGAGGACGAGAAGCAATCAATGCAGAGCACAGGAACCTTTTTGGGGCTGACTCATGATCTTAGCTCCATCAACCAAACAGGACATGTACATTTTTGGGCTCGAGAACGGCTCCATGACAAAGTACGTGACATGTTGGCAACAGCCAGGGTGACTGGCCATTTTAGCCGAGGGGCAGCATCGAAGCTGTACGGCTTAGCCAATTTCCTGGAACAGGGCATCTACGGTCGAGTGGGATACGGCGGCCTCATGGCAATCAAAGCCAGGCAAGACGAACCAACCTCGACCATCACTCCGGAGATTGAAGCATGCTTCGAGGTGATCGAAGCAGTCATGCGCTTTCAGCCAAAGCGGGAATTTCCCGTTCTGCACCTGGATCATCTGCGCTTTCTTGCAGCATCCGACGCAGCTGTCGAAGCAGACAATCCTGGTTCAGGAGGTTTTCACCTGATCTTTTTCCAGCCTGACGGATCACAGATTCGTCACAGTTTTGTCGCGGCCAACTGTGCAGAGCTTCAAACACTTTGGCAACCTGCAGAGACGCACATCGCCCAATTGGAACTATCTATGGTGCTCTACGCCCTTGTCGAAAGGCCTGATCTGTTTCGAAACCGACACGGCCTCTGGTTTTTGGACAACGTGGCAGCCGTCATGACGCTAGTGAGAGGACGTTCTAGCAATGCCGACTTAGCGAAGCTAGGTCATTTGATCCATCTAGCTCTGTTTGCACTGCGAGCCCAAGGATATTGGGAGTACGTCCAGAGCAAGAGCAACTGGGCTGACGACATCAGCCGACTTGGCGTCAACGATCCATGGTGGCGATGCCATGGTTTTGACTTTCATTCGTCGTACCTCCCTACAATCTTTTTCCAGCTACCTTTTGCGGCTGTCATTCTCACCTTCGAATACCTTTAGTGCTTTGGGAGTTGAGTGCATTGGGTGATTCCTGCAGAGCAGGTTCCAGCCTGGGTTGCCAGGCATCTGACCAGTGGCGAAACTGGTCTGGGGCTATGTACGTGTCACATCGTGACAACCCAAAGCAAACCTGAGGATTGCAGGTGAAATTGACTGAGCATAGGCATAGCTGTGGAAAAAGAAAGCTGCTGGAGCGCGAGACAGTACCTGTTTCATATGACACTTTGAGATGTACCCATGCATTGAGTTTGGCAGGCTTGGGTGTGCATGTATCATCTTTAAGTGTTTCAATGAATGCTATCATTTTGGCTCAAGTAAACTTGAACCAAAATAGCATTCATTGCTGTTTTCTTTCCCCACCCTCCCAACCCTAAGAGCCGACCTCCCGTGGAGATGTCCGCCTAGGTTAGGGGAGCCTGCACGGCAGGCGAGTCCATAGCCTCTATCGGGGATCCTCTCTTGGGGCGACCAAGAGAGACTTTCCCTCCCTTAGGTTTAAGGGATGGGTGATTCCTGCAGAGCAGGTTCCAGCCTGGGTTGCCAGGCAGCTGACCAGTGGCGAAACTGGTCTGGGGCTATGTACGTGTCACATCGTGACAACCCAAAGCAAACCTGAGGATTGCAGGTGAAATTGACGGAGCATAGGCATAGCTGTGGAAAAAGAAAGCTGCGGGAGCGCGAGACAGTACCTGTTTCATATGACACTTTGAGATGTATATATATTTGTTTATACATATATATATATATATGAACAAACATATTTAGATATATATATATAAATAAAAAAGGGAGGTATTTTGTTCTTTATTTAGTTAGTAAATAATGTAAATATTGGATAACATATATATATAAATATTGTGTACATATGCTATATATATATACATCTTGTGTTCAATATATATATATATATTTCTTAGATACTATCAGTAATTATTCATATTGCATATATATATACACACATACTGTGTATTTATACATATTGTATTTGTATATATTTATTTGTTTTGTGTTTAGTTTTTATGTATTTATTTTATTTATTTATTTTATCTATTTTTTACTTTTATTTATTTATTGTATATATATATATGTATACATTATATATATTGTTTGTGTGTATACAGATTTATATTTATTTACTGTAAATAAATAAGTAAATAAATATATATATATATCTTTCTTTTTACCGTATATATATATATTGTGCATATTTAAATATAGTACATATGTTCTTTTGGTGCATCTATATATATATATATATTATTTATTTATTTATTCGTGTTATAATAACAATAAGTAAGGACTGATTCTCTAAGCAAGGCACCTGGGCTTAAGAAACCCATAAACCCATCAATAAGTCCCTTCCGGGGACGGTTTGTAACACGCCCCCCGAAAGGCAAAATGTGGTAAATTAATGGAGCATGGTTGATTCTTGGACTTACAAGTTGCCACATAAACAGTTGATAGTAGCTGACAGTGTGTGAGGATGGTTGATGGTGTTGACGGTGGTTGATGGTGGTTGGTGGCGGTTGACGGTGGTTGATGTGATGGTTTTTGGTGGCTGGTAGTGATTGATGGTGGTTAATTGCCATAGTTTTTGTACCCCTAAACAGATCTTCCGCAGTCCAAGCCGAGTTCATCAAGTCCGTCTATGAACCTGAACATATTCACCCTAGTCACACAGTGTTTTTTTCTCATCATGTAATTTAGATCATAGCTTTCCGATGTTGGCGCGATGCTCTCATAATCTCTCTCATCTATTCTAATTGTTTTCTTGTTTGGAGGTTGACCATGGAGGTTTTGCTGGGACCAGCTTTGGCCACTGCCATCCACTCATTTGCCTTGGGATATGTCCCCACTTCTTTGATAAAGGGAACATTTCTCCACGTGAAGGGTGACACCCCTGGGGTACTTTGGGGTGAACTTTCTCACCCGAATCGTTCATGCTGAGGCAACATGCCACTACCGTGCTGCATGGGGCAATATCTGGAGCCGTGACCCCAGATCCTCGACAGAGCGGCAGGGCGGCAGGGTTTGGGGAGCCTACTTTCCCTTGGGCACCAACCAATGTTGCAAGGAACCATTGTAATGTAGATTCGACGGGGGTTACAAACCCTTTAACACCATCATATGCGCATCCATTTACCACCTGTTTTGATCTGTTTTGATGTTTGATGTGCACCGGGGTGCAGAAAGCCAAGTTAAGCGACTCATTTTTGGCCTTGCAGCCTGGGATCCCACCGGTAGCACCTGAAGATCCTACCCAATTTGAGACTTTGAGATCTTTGAGACTCTCCGCTATAGGGCAGTGTGCAGCAGAACCCCGCGACTTGTTGCTGAACCTGCCATGTCGGCTGTAGACCATTTAACCCTGTTGAATCATGGGAATAAATTTCATCATGACCCACCGGCCAAACCAATCGGATTGATTTCTAAGTCGACCTCAGGACACCATCTCCTACAACGCGAGCATCAGTTCATGTCGTCTCTTGGGCCAATGGCGCACTGGCATCCTCCTGCTGGAAATGCTGTGGCTGGACAAATATGTTGGATATGTTGGATGGATGAAACATGATGTGCTCGGATGTGCTCAGTGCCTCTTAGCCCCTGAATTTCGATGAATTTCGAGGCGACCAGCCACGATTGGACATTCAGTAGCGTATCAAGTGCTTAGTGGGAAGCCCAGAAACCTAGGCACAGTCACAGTGGGCAACCCAGCGTGATAACCTACAACTCCACTGTCAGCGCTTGTGAGAAGTCTCTAGAATGGAGGCAAGGTAGGTGTTCAAAGGGAAAGGGTTGGAAGCACCGGGTTTGGAGGGGAATATGACTCAATATGACCAATCAAGGAAATTGAGCCAGCCCGTCTCAGGGGGAAGATGATCGTATTTTGCAAACACCTTGCCCCCTTGATGGTTGGGCTTGGGAACCCTTTCAGTCGCTTTTTAAACACACAAAACGACGAGTGGCCTCTGGTAATTGAACCTTGCATGGGGAGATCCTCAGGTCCAGATAGGTCCACTGTTGAAATGATTTATCAAATGCGGGTGATTGTACTGCCATGTTTGCTTGCCAGAAGGCACCTGCACTGCACCTGGAAGAAGTCTAGTAGATGCGTCAAACGTTCCTGGGGGTATAAGCATTGGTTGATTGATGAATCATGCAGCCTGAGCTTGGCCCAGGCAAGCTTTGTGCTTGTTGAGCTCAGTTGACCTTTCATGGCTGCAACGTAGCTGGGTGTTAATCAACCATCAAATAGTTGGCAGCCGATTTTTGATGATTAAACTATGTTAGATGTTTTGTTTTTTCCTGCTGTATACGTACTGTAGTATAGATGACTTCATGTAGATTAGATCCCAAACCTAGTTGGTATGTTAATGTATGTTATATGTACCGGGAACATTCTGGGAACACGGTACATTGGAACCTAGGAAATGTCATTACAAACAGCTCCGCAATCAGTGCCTGTGAAAAAGTTGCAGCATGGCAGAGTGCATTGAAAGTCTTGTTCGATAGCATTTGCTGGGGTAGCCAACGTCCCAACCACGCCACCTACAATGCAGCACTTTGCGCATGTATGTTTGCATTTGCTTGGCAATAAGTTTTTCTTTTATTTCTATTCTCTCAAGATGGCATACTGGGTCTGGCCCAAAAGAGGGCACCTCTAAACCGTTCGAAATCCATGTATATATATATATACATGTACATATTACAAAATCCGCCCACACCGCTTTGGCGGTGAAGGCGTGCTTATTGGGGGGCAACAGCAACACTAAATGCTCAATGACATTTGTTAATATAGCAGTCGCTATATCAGCTTTAGCTGGGGGGGGGGCCAAAAACGGTTTTGCACCGAGACCAGAATAGGGTGGTGTTTTCGATATTTTTCGAGGATTTTTGGGTGTCTGAGCGCAAGAGGGTATTGAAATGGAATTTTGGGTCATTTTGGTAGCTTTCCGGCAAGGGAAAAACGGCCAAAAATGAAAAAAACATTGTACATAGCAAGATTTTGCAGGGTTTTTGGATGCCAGAGCATTGAAAACACTGCAAAAACACGTGTTTTGGACTGACGTTAGAGCCAAAAAACGTGTAAATGACCGTATGCTTGACTGGAAACATTACAAAAACACTGTCAAAAGCAATGTTTTGGAAGGATTTACTGCCTTTATGGCAAAAAACGTGTAAATTACCGTCTGTTTGACTGGAAACATTGGAAAAACACTGTCAAAAACCATGTTTTGGAAGGATTTCTTATTGAAACTTCTTAGCCTGAAGAGCCCCCACGGGGGAAAACCACCCTTAGCCCCTCTCACGGACCGAAATAAACCTGCGGTGTGGGCGGCCACCCCACGCGAAGCGGGGTGAATAGATATATTGTTCAAAATATGTTCAATAAGTTTGGGGGAAAAATGCCCCATCTTCAAAGACCACCATTTTTCCCAAGCGAGGTGAGCGCTCCACCCGCTGGCAGCAGACCCTGTTGTTGGCCACTCCCTCTGTCATCGCCTGCCTCGCAACGGCCAGGGCCTGCGAAGCTGCGAAGCAGTGGCCACAGGTGCTACAAGTGCTACGGACCATGCAGATCCAACGAGTCACTCAGCGGCCAAAGGTTGGGGAAAGCTTGGTGTGTTGGCTGGTTGGTTGGCTTGGCTTGGGCGGTTGGTTGGTGAGTCCACTTTCACTTATGAATATAGTTTTTGGCAATGGAGCCATCCCTCTGGAAAGATTTTGAAGGCCTTTTTGATCTTTTTGCGATAAGGCATGACTGCAAAAGGGGTTTGCAACTGGGCCAGTTGATTTCAACGAACAACATGTTTTTTCAAAAATGCCGCTTCACAGGATATTTGTTCGACATCAATCATATTCTTTGAACCCACAATCCACAACCACAATACAGTGGTTATATATCCAGGATACATCCATTAAATAAATTTTCCCCTGCCGCGCCCCAGGTTCCTCCTGACGTCTCCACCTGCAGCAGTGCTGTGTCGGCCTGCCAGGCCGCGAGCGCTTCCCCCACGGCGCGGCTGCTGGAAGTGGTGGCTGCCATGGCGCCCGCTGTCACGCGCGAGACTAGCGAAAAAGGCCGTGCTGAAGTTAATGGAAATGTCTGGCAATGTGAACCTGTTCCAACTGGGTTCTTGGGCATTGTGAAGTGATGTTTGGTTTTATTTCTATGCAGTTGGCTCGAGGCTCTCGGCAAAAGAGAAGTCAAAAAAGAATCCGCACAATTTGCCTGTGGACCCAGCCCATGAAGCCCGTGAATGATCAAAATCACCCAAACCATCCCAAACCGCGAAACCACGGTACCATTGCGGGTTTTGGCTATGCCACTGGCCCGCAACGCCATGGCAACGCAGCTCATCACATCCCATGCGAAACGACAGGATTGGCCTGGCGCATTGGAGGCACGTGGATGGGTTGTATGAAACGATAAGGGGAATACCGGGAACACCCATAAAAGGATTATATAAGATTATATTAATATTATATAAGAAGATTATGATTTATCAGATAGAATCAGAATGTGTATGATAATGATTGATGATGTGCCATTAAAGTGGCACCCATTTAAATCAACCAAGATATCCTTGCGATTAACATGTCTCAAAAATATTCAAAAATATTGAATCATGTCGGATGATATCAGTATGGGCCATACAGTATGGGGGTCACGGGCAAACCTCATCAAGCCTTCCTTTCTGCGGATTCTGGAACGTGGTGTAAGTGTACTCTGTGTTTTGAGCATTGGTATATAAATAAGTTATTGGAGGGCCCAATGTTTTTCCCCAGCGGAGGTTCGCCTCCCAACTGCTTTTCATACAGAATCAATTCCTGCTTCTATCAATAAATGAGACTGCCTGGACGACAACTACAACGTAGCCCATTCGTTGCCGTTGTCACAGGTATATATATATATATATATACACGTCTCCTTTTTTTACCTTTTACACTAAATACTTGGATTTGTTAGCTGCATTTGGTATGCGTTTGCTACAAGATACTCACACCCAGACTGCCACAGTCTCTGGCAGATCCTGGTGGGTCTTCAACACGCGCGTTCAGCTAACGTGATCAGCTTTGGTGCAGCTACTAGGTTGCAAGGCTTCCGGTGTCAGATTGATGAGGGTGATGGTTGAGTCATTGGGCTCCGACTTTTGCTTTCCAAGTGGTAAATTGGTAAGCTCAATCATCAACCTCGACTTGGGGGTTTTATAACACACCCCAACCCACCAACTTTCCTGGTAGAGCTTCTCCTTGGGCGCACCCAACAGATTTGATAAAGTTAAGGAAATCTGCAAACCTGGAAATTGCATCCGCAACATCCTGACAAATCCTGACAATGGTGGTTCTTTGCATTTCTTCGCACTGTATTTCCGATTGATTCCTGGGGCCATTTGGGGCCACCAGGCCCGGCCGAGCATCAGGCCATCCATGCCTGCGACCGAGCTCGTTGGACTTCAGCAGTGCTGCTGCAAGACGTGCTGCGTTCGAGATCTCTGGAGAGTAATGTGACTGGGTCAAATCACCCAAGCCGAAAGCCTGATGGTTGCTGGGAGAGGGGAAAAAAAACATGCAATATTCACTAGCAGACATGGGAATAATATAGGGACATAGCGGGACATTGCCAGGTCAAAACGAAGCAAACATGTAACAAAACAACTATTGGTCGGTGTTTGCAATGTGTTCATGTTCCGTCCCGACTATGGGATGGTGGGATGACCAAACCACGGATGCCAATATGACCTGGCAACATCAAAGAAAGGTCACGGTTGGAAGGTGATGGGGCGCAGGTGCGTCGCTGAGTTGTGAAAAAAAAGGAAATCCAAGAACTCTCCTCATAAATTATACCAGCATCCTCCTGTTTCTATTGGTTGCTTGTTGTATCCCAACGAATCACAGTCACTCTAAAACGAGATGAAAGGGTTCTGTTGATATTATTTGCCATTCAAATTGACGAGAAATGGACCAGAAATTGTGGATCTCTTTGAGATTTGCCCCACCCCCTGGTGTTCCCAGTTGGACATAGAACTTAAAATGCAGTGAACCCTCCCAGGTCGTCACATCAAGTGCTGCCATAAGTTCCTGCCAAAAGCTGGCAGCCTGGGAAAGTGCCCTGGAACTCTTCAGAACCTTGGAGAAGCTGGAGATGACTTAGAATTAGCCTCTGGCAAACTAGCATGGCAGTGGTAAATCACAAGGGTTAGTAACGGTTAGTAGGTAAATCAAGTATAAATGGGCCATTTTCCATAGCTTTGCTGGTTTGCCAGAGGATATGGGCCACAAACTATGAGCTTTAATCTTTATTGAGGAACATAATAAATACACCATGGGTGGTGATTGTTGTATTCCCATGTTTGTAATTTTAGCATGTGCTATCACCAAAGGATATGCCAAAACTATTGAGAACCCAAGAAATGAGACTCACTGGTGCCAAGGCAAAATGAGTATACATTTTTAGTCTGGAGTGCATATATACATGGGGTCAATACATGCCAATACCATCTCAATGACCCACCAATCGCGCCTGAAATACCAAGAAAGGGTAAGTTTAGGGGCTGTTTCTGGCAGACGAAGCATTGAGCACGTGGTCAGTCGGGGTTTGTGGGCCAGTCCTTGCTACTTGGATGATCCCCTGCGATTTCTGGAGTACACCCCAGCATCATGGGGATTAAACCAACCCCTTCACAGGATCCAAAGGTAGGCCCCGCAAAAAAAAAAAATGTTTTTTTCGGGGGACTGTGAACCACCAGCAACCAGTGCGAGTTTATCCAGCTATCATAGGTCCCCCAATGACACCAGGCAGTGGTCTGAACCCCAGGACTTATGTCATCGGCCGGGCTGTCGGCGGATGTGGTGGTCTGGGGTGCTGGCATCAGCGCAGCGGGAGGGTGGCAGAGATCCCACTGCTTGCTGTGCGAGATGGAGATTTGACAGAGGGCTTCGTGTTTTTTTTGTTTTGTTTGTTTTTTTGTGTGTAGGGATGTAGAACTAGATGTATGACGTACAAGGACGTATGTGTGCAGATTATGCATACGATATGTTATTTGCCCAGCATGCCACTTGCTCGAACCCATTTCTTCCACCCCAAAACTCATCTCCCAGCATTGGATCATGGAAAAATCCCGGGAAAACTATATGAGCAACGGCTTTTATTTGGTTAAATGGAGAGTAGTATTGTGGCGTACCCCGGTTTGTCGGAAACATCATAGCTAGCTTGTGAAACGAGGTACGGCCTCAAGCTGTAGGAACACCCCGAGAACAAGGTGGCCATGCATGCAAAGCATTTAGCTATTGAAAACAAGTGCGGCATTGGAGAACGAGGTCAGACCCCAAAAAACGTGACAGGACTGGAGAACGAGGTAGGAACACCCCGACATTTGCAATTTGTACCAAATAACTTCCGCGGCTATATATATATATATAAATATACATATATATATAATATAAGTCATTCATCAACCATGGTTTCCGGTGAAGTTTTACTTCTAGTCCCCATAAACGCTCATAAACTCAATAGTTGTTGATTTCAACCAACGCCCAGCGTTTTTCACGGGGACAGGAGCACCAAGCTGTCGAGACGAACCACATCACCACTGGCGCCGCGCTGTCGCATTGTCCGCCCTGGCACCATGCGCTGCAGTGCGGCGTCCGGGACACCTTTGCCCAAGGGCTGAGGCGAAACCACACAGAAGTGGGGCTTAGGGATGTCATTTGTTATTTCAACCTTTAGAATTCATGGATATTCATTGCATCTTGCATGTTTATTGCATAGGTCTGGAATGTGGGAGGCTTGAGGTAGCCCTGAGTAGAGACCCTTCCCATCAGCTTTCGGAGAATAATAATGTGACAATCTGATTTTTTATGTACTACGACACTACGAAACACAGGCTTGTTTTCAAAGTCCATCCCCATTTTTGTTGGCTGATGTAGGGCCTATGGGAAGGTTGCTGCTGATTGTTTCAAACACCACAGATGTTTCATCTTCAAAATCACCCAAAGTACTGGTTGGACCTCTCCACACATCAATTTCGCACCAAAACTCTTGCACTTCGTGATGCCAAGATATGCCAAGGCCAGATGTGGTCACTTTCAACGTCACCATGTCGGCTTGTGAAAAGGTCACATCTTGGCTGGATGCTGTTGTTCTTCTGCAGGAGGTTTCGAAGCAAGAGACCTTTGGTGCTGGGGAGGGTGGAAGGTGATGTTGAGATGAGGTGTGCCATTTTAGGAAAATGCCATTGGTAGCCAAGAAGTCATATAATTTGATCATATAATCATGGAGAAGGGAGAGGTGAACCAACCAAAATAATTTGCTTACAGCCAAACGAGGATATTGATACTAGTACGTGTCATTACTACTGATCATTTGACAGATCGCTTAGGCTTAGGTCTCAGGTTGCCAGTTTTCGTATGTGTCTCTATGTGTCTCTCACTTTTTTCCCCGGAATTCACCGCCAGTAAGCCATCTGATACACCTGCCTGCAAACCAAACTCATTCCGCAAACTACGATCTTCGGCGAATCTTCGGGATATTGTTGGATTGGATATGGTATCCTTTGGGATTTATGATGTCAAACTTGCGGGGGCCACTGCTGGACATGTGTCAAACAAAGGCTTTCTTCAGGGCCGACATTGCGCTATAGTGCGGCCCAGGATGAGACAAAGTGTGATCACATTCAATACCACTGTGACCCAACGGCATTGAAGGTGGACCCTTGCTGGGCCGCATGTCGACACATGTCTTTCAATCAGTTTTTCAGGAATCGGATAGAATGGGATAATGGGAACCTCAAAAAAAAAGTGGCAATGAAAAAATTGCATGTCAATGCATGTCGTATGTCATAGCTCTGCTGAACTGTGGAGGATAGGATGCTAGACATTTAGACAATTAGACCATTTAGACAAGTTCAGCTGATTCCAAAGGTTTTGTGTGATTTGTGGGTGTTGTTCCGCCGCGCAGTTGCACAGCTGTCAGGTAAGCGCAGGGGAGAAAGCTGGTCGCTGGCAGGAAGTTCTGCTTTTGTTCCAGTCCGCTGTGGCAAAAACATTGTGGCTGGGCTGTTCCAAGACTGGGTTGTGGTATACGTTCGACTTTCTATCCTGCTCTGAGGACAGATTCACATTAAGATTAGTGGCATATCTATGGATGTTTGGGGTTTGGCTTGAAACAAGTATTCACTTGCAGTTCAAACCTCGCCACCCGCTGAAAATCGAACTTGAACATGACTGTGGAAAGATTTTGGTTCGTTTTATCATGTTGTATCAACGGGTGGCAACAGAGGCCATGCACATCTATACGTACATGGCACACATGTGCCCAACGCGGATTGCAGATCAGGGTCGTAGCAGTGCCTGCACGCCAGAAAATTTTCCCCCTGAGCCCGCAGTTTGGTATCCCTGAACTGGCTGGGGCACGGAATAGTACACCTTGATTTGAGGCAACCTGATGCCTTTACGACCAGCCCACTCCTCAATGCTTGCGCAAAGACTGTCCCCCAGCTGCTATCACTGGGATTGCACTTAGGTGGCTGCTCACCTTCGATAGGTATTGTTTGGAGACACCAATCTTGACAGGGAACAGCATACCTGTATACCATGTTTGCTTCAAGGGATTGTTCGGTAGGCAGATTGGATAGTCTGAATTAGAGTGAAAGCTCCTGCTCCTGACTGGCCTTAAGGCACGCTGAATGAACTTTGTGTCAATAGCCGGCTGGTCCCATTCACTGGAGGTTTCCAAAGTCATAGCATTCAGCATAGCATGGCACGTCTTGCGATACTTGCCATGTCATGCATGAGGTGGTAACCACTGTAACCACCTAAAAGTCTTCAGTGAAATCCCTCCCTGAAAATCCCCCAGAAACCATCAGAAACCCACGTCATTGTCCAGGTTCATTGGCAGCATGCCCTCCAACTGGCTGGGGCGGCTGGGGGTCACTGCTCAGACTTGGTGATTCTCAACGGTTTAATCAACGCCTGCGGGAAGTCCAGTGCTTAGGCCGCAGGCGGCAGGCAGGGGCTCCCAAACATCCAATATGAAACTGTGGTTTCCAAGGGGCCAAAGTGGTGATTCATGTTCTGGGAAAGGGATTGCTTGCCAGAACATTCTGGGAAAGGGATTATATATACGTATATATTATATATACATATTTAAAGTGATCAACATAGAGGGGGGGATGATCGAGGGTAAAAGCCAGAGATACTGAACATGGAAACTGATTGGCAAAGCTTTTGAGTGGTCCCTAATCCGTGAACATCACCATTGCCAAGCATAGAATTCCTATGAATTCTACAATAGACACAGTGGTTTGGGTTTTTTCAGCAACCTGTAGTCATCGAATACCAGTGGCTCTTGAAATCTCTTGAAGGCCGCCCAGAACTCAAAAATTCGACGATCCCATGAAAGGAAAGTCTTTGGATTTGATTTGTAGACCCCCAAGCCTCTTATGATGGTCCCCAATGACCTGCCTGTTACTTTTTTTGAGATGTGGTGAAACCCACAAACCATTGGAGAATGACCTCCATGGCTTCCCAGGTCACTGGCCCTTAGCACTGGCCATCCTGGAGAATGTGCTGATGCAACGCTTAGAACCGGACATCATCACTTACAGCGCTGCCATCAGTGCGTGTGAAGAACGAAATGAACTCGGTCCAGCACGATGTGGGTTTGAAGATGTGGAACACCCAAACATGGCATGGTCAATCATCTTCTGTCCAATAGAAAAATGACTTTTTGGGGGGCATCCTCCCATTCTCAGACAGACCCATTCGCAGATTGGTCCTCACAGCGACATCACCTAAGTTACTAAGATGACGAGTTTCAAGTGCGAGGGCCCTACTGTACGTATACGTTTCATGATTTTCTCTGGAATGAAGTCTTTGAATTGATCGTTCTGCATCATTCACCTATAGCCCTGGATACGGCCGGATGAACAGGGCGTTCGGCCTACCTGGCAGATCTCATTTGTTCGGCTCTGCTGTCAGATAAGGCATGGGAAAGAGCTTTGCTTCTTCTTTTCCAGGCCAGTGAGAGCCAGGTCCACGGAGATTTGCTTTGGCAATTCTTTGAGTTGTGCTTGGTGAGCTAGGGTGTCAATAAAAGTGCTGTTCCAATAGGTAAATCAGACAAATTAGATCAAATTAATTAGCGGGTTTTCCATTCCATTTCTTCACATTTGATTTCCCTAAGAGATGCTAAGAGGAATTGTGTGCCTGAATGTGCTACGTAGTCCAAACCTAAGAGTTCACATGGATGTAGAACTGCTACTCCAAGGGCCCCAAGGGCAAGATTGGTAGTTCTGGATTGGAAGTGTGCGTGGAGCATGACCCATCCCCTTTGTCCACGGTGATGTTGGGGGAGGTTTATGATTTTATGTTGGGAAACGCCACATGAAAGTTGTTGTCCAAAGAATATCTCTCCCCTGTGACTCATTTTCCCAGCGCAGAGCTGCCATCATCCTCGAGGTTGAAGTCAACGTTTTCGCTTGCAGTGCGACCATCAGTGCGTGCTCCAAAACATCCAATTGGCAGCAAGCTGTGATGCTTTTGGAGATGGTATGCAATCTCCAAGTGCAGTTGACTCCTGGCCCACACAGCTCGAACTGGATGTCCAAATGCCTTGCTTTTCTTGAAAGTTGGAGTTCACAGGGGTTGCAAATTTCCACATCCCGGGAAATTGAAGGGGGGCCCCCCCCACCCGTCATCTCAGTTTGCTCAGGAACTTGGTGGCGTACAACGCGACCTTCACGGCCTTCCAGGACTTCAGTTTCATCCAAGTTCAACCGGAATTTCAGGACCCTAAAGTAGACGTACTGTACCATATAAGGCCACATGTTGTAAGGATATTCCCTACATAGCCCTGAAAATTTGGCCTGATATATGGTAGGTACCTCCAATTTAGGTTCCTGAAATGGCCATTGTCAAGTTCTTCATACCATCCTGAACCTTATACACCGTGAAGGAAGCAAACTTGGCACTGGAAAATCCACGAAGATCTCCATTCCAAATTGGACAAATTGGACAATTCACATGGTTTGTTGGCAAATGGTCGCCGGTGACGCCGGTGACCAGTTTTTCACCACCTGCCTGCAGGAATCGAATTGTTGGAGATCGGCCATTCATCTCTCCGACGCGGCGGCAGACGCGGCATCGCTGGATTTGGTCGGCCTCAGCGCGATTTGCTGCGCCTGCGGAAAGGATCCTTGCTGCAGTGGAGGAAGTCTGGAGCCGAAAGGCGGAGCGTAAACATAACCAGAAAATTGAAGGTGAGATGACATCATATCTTCAAGTATATAGTCCAAAATTAGAAACGTATGTTGCCATTGTTGCGCTAGGAGTTTACCGGTTCTAGTGGTTTTGGGACGTGCTAAATACACCTGTGTGAAATGGTTTGAGGTTTTTGCTGCGATTGCCTGGTTTGTTTTGTGACGAATTAGTAGACATCCCGGTTTTCAAACACAAACCAGACAGATTCCTGCAGGGGGTTGTCCAGTGATGCACGACCATGGCCATTGGAGATACGTCCGCAAAAGAGCTTCCAATGCTGCAAGCCATGGTTTGAAGGATTTGCACTGAGTAGAGTTTAAACAAAATTTGCTACCAAGGTGGTTCCACGTCAGATATGGTTAAGGCCTGCTTGGGATGCTTGAGGTACGGTAGCTTTCTGGCACAAAGGCGTATGAGAAGCAATATGTCACCGTTTAATTTCATTCAAGATTTTCTGAGTTACAAAGCAAACCTCGAAGCACTAAGGCTGGAGAATGGCAATCTGCCTGCGGTATCATTGACCAAGCTGCAAGATGTCACATTAACCTTGATGCCATCGCGCCACTCGGGCAGGCGTAAAGGCATGGAGCATCCTCCTCCATATTCTAAGTCGTGGGGGTACCACCTCAAAAATGGTTCACTTCGGGTTTGTGAATGAGTTTGATTTGCAGATTCAGAATGTCAGTCTCGCGTTCTAGCGTCTAGTTGACTAAAACATTGATGATATATAAAGGTTGCACGCATGCGGGTTGATTATCTCGGTTTGTTCACTGCTGGTGCGCCTTTCAGATGGAGGAAGGCGGATGCGCACTTTAGTTGTGTGGTCATTGGCGTCACGTTGGAAACTCCTAACTCCAACTGACCGCCCGAAGACCAGAGACTCGTACTGGGGTCGCATGTTTGCCCTCAAGAACCAAGATCAACATGAGGGGGAGGCAGAATCAATTAAAATCTGTTAGTTTGTCATAGTTTGTCACCTTGTCACCAAAGCTTGGTTTCGACTAGCAAAACATGCTGACCACTCATCGTGTGAAGGTATTTCAGCACCAAAGGGATGGTCTGTGGCATGCCCTCATTTCAATTTGACGTTAAAAAACGATATGAAACGAGATAACATGATATAAAATGATAGTGTTCATCCTGTTTCCCCCTATTTTTCCAGGTCTTTGTTGCCCTGGCACCGGAAGGACCCCCCCCAATGCCCGCGGAGGTACGCCTCCATCGCGGACGCCTGCGACCGGGCGGCTGAGCTGTCCGGTTTGCGGCGGCTGCTGGAGCAGTTGGATCCCAGCGGATCAGAAAATGGATGTTTTGTGGGTAGCCCTATTTTAGGAAACCTCCATATGGATCATATATGATCATATGGATTCATATGGAACCATGGGATCCCATAGGATTTGATGGGTTGCCTAGTTGATCCTGGTTGCCTGGTTGCTTTTAAGGCTTCCCAGCAAGTTTAAGCAAGGAACCAGGGTCGGGATCCAGGCCTCAGGCTCCCATTGTCAAAACCCAACCTGGGAAGTGATCCAGCGCAATACTTTTCTCAAAAGATTCACATCTTTAGCAGATGCCTAATTTTGTGGTTTTGGCTCGTCTGGGATTATGGGGCCAAACAAGCAGTTATCCATTGTTGGAAGTTAGTGGAAGAGGTGCAGGTTGAGCAGTCCTCAGGTTCCACCAGCCAGCTGTTGTTCAAAATTTCATACGCCGCACCGCAGTTTTGTGCTGCATGAATTAACTTGTGCTGTGTGCGCTGCCTGGTGGGTGGAGCCAGGCCTTCCCATGTTCCACGACAGCAGATGACTTGTCCTAAGAACGACAACTGGTCCATGCCTGGTTAAGCCAAGCATGTTATGAATTGTTATGGCAGTTGCAAGCCCAGTTCTAGTGGGATTTTTAAACTACTAGAAGTGGGTAAAACCAGTAGCAGCCCAGCACGGCCTGTGGCCCGGCGACGGAGCCGATGGTGCCCAAGATCATTGAGTACAACAAGGCGTGAAAGATGGTAATCAGATGGTAGGCAGTGGTTGAAGGGAAATGTGAGAGGAGAACCTATTTTTTCCGCCCCAAATACTGGAGGGTTCCTGTAACATGTACTTAAACCAATGCAACCATTGAAGCATCACTGCATCACCTTGAAACTGTGGTGCAGTATCGTAGTGGCTGAATGGTGCAGTTGAGTGGTTGAAATTGTGATTAAGTGATTTCAATGATATTGGGGAGGGGTCGGAAATGGGCGAAATTCGTTCTCAATGGGAAGTGCCCTCAAAACAACAGGGTGGTATGCCTAGCAAGTTATATAGAGCCGTGAGACATTGATGCTTCGTTGTTTCTTAATATTTTCTTGATCAACAAATTAGAAGGAACCCGGTACATTATATGCACATTTTGAAGAAATCAATGCAGTTCTCTGCGGTTTTTAAACTCATGGCGCTCCACCTCCAACTCCCCAAATTTCGAGGCCATCAGCCGCTGCAAGCAGTCCGGTCACTGGCAACGTGCAGTGTCTGGGCTCTTTTTTTCCTTGGTGCCACCGCAATTTCAGAACAAGGATAGTCAGATAAAATGAGAAATGAGGACTTGACCCAAAAATAGCATTCTATGGAGCAGAATTGTTCAATCAGACAATATGGGTATAGCAATAGCAACCCAAAATGAAATGGTATCTCTGGCATTCTAAACTGGCAACAGTAAATACAGAAAAATACATAGGGCTTGATTTCTTACTAAGAATGGAGCATTCAGCATTCCAATTGCCATATTTGATTGCCGGAAGGAAGGTAAACCAAGTTTAAACTCGCGTTAGCTGCTCTTATGAGCATGTATATGTACATATTTAAAACTGTCACAGAGCATCCAGCTAGGCCATACTGGTGGTAATCCAGCTACGGCGTACTGGTGGTAAATAGTGGATTGAACATGATGCAGGTTTTCAGCTCAGCACCTGTAAACACATTTTATCGAGACATCATGTCGACCTTATTGACAACAGTTGACAAGCAAAAGCTTGCCTGCGAAGCCTGTACTGGAAAAGGGCGTGGTCAGTGTTCGCAGCCGAGGTGAGCCTGCAATTGGTCCACTCCTTACGGGTGTAATTTCTCCAAACTTACATGTATCTTCAGCCCAAACCATCCACCTTCAAACAGCTCTCTGTCAATTTCTTCCATCTATGTTTCCCATCATGTTCCATAGATTTTCCATATATTTTATGTGCCCATAGTCTAATATATACCTATATCTTACATGTTTCACCATCCAGCGCTCCTTTCAGGTGGCGCTGTTGGATGAGCTTCGTCGCGAGACCTTGCAGGCCACCGTGGTGACCTATGGGGCCACCTTGAGCGTCATGGAGCGACCCTGCTGGAAGGATCAGCGGGTGATTTCGAGATTTTGGAGATTTGGAGGATTGCCTTCAAAAAGAATGAAAAATCAGAGGTAAAAAATGGTGAAAAATTGGAAAGATGTGAGAAACGTTCAGAAACCATGATTGCCCATTCACTTTGAATCATGTTGGGGGGTGGAAACCAGGGTTTCAAATCGATTTTTCCCGTAAAGTGATGTTCTGCTTGGTGAGACTTACTTACTTGGGTGACCATCTTAAACCAAGGTGAAGCCAGGGTTTGGCTCTGGGGTAGCACCTGAGCATGAGGACATTAAGAGGAAACAGCAAAGATTCGAAGATGGTTGATGTACAGAATAGCCACTGCTTGGGTGGGGTTAAGTTGCAAACCAAGGCGCGCCTCCAGGTGGCAAGATGCGATGTCACTCCTGCGCGCGGTCCTTCAGTTGCCGTTGCAGCCCAGTCTGATTCTCTTCAACGCCGCGGTGAGTGCCTGTGCCAAAGGATGCCTGAGTCATTGGCCACACGCGGTGCAGATTTATTCATCTACAAATGTGTATACTTACAGAGAGTTGCAGCGAATAGTCATAAGTCAATCACACGTATGACCATTGCATACATATACATATATTTTAACTGTTTTACATACACAACAAATACATACATACATACATGCATACATACATACATACATATAAATATATATATATGTATACGTATATTGATATATTAATATGTGTGTGTGATTGTATATGTGTATCCATGTAAATTCCTTATTTGGTTGAGTACACATGTCCAACAACTGGTTCTGTGGCCACACTGGCGCCGCTTCCAGGAAAACGCTGGCAGGCTGCGATGCGGCTGCTTGACCGTCTGGATGGTGCCAGGCATCCCGGCCGCCCCAGGGTGACCGGTGGCCGTTGACGACCCAGTGATTCAGAGATGGTCATAGGGAACCCAGGGGAAAAAAGGACCAAAACATACCAAAACCTATTTACTATAAGTTGAGAAGGGACCAAAACATACCAAAGCCAAAACCTATTTAAGTTGAGGAACCTACTGGCCAATGTCAAAAACCATGAAGTTTCACACGTGTATCTCATGTTGACAGCAGTTTCTTCTGTGTTGTACCTCAGGTTTCACTTTGAGTCGCTTGGTTTAGTCCCTCATTCTTCTAATGATTCTTTGCTCCATATCATATCCCACATCTTGAATGTAAGTCGTTTTTTCCCATCTATTTCTCCGTTACCAGTTGTTTCTAAGCCTGAAAATAAGGTAGCCAATTCCATCCGTTAATCAATAGTTAATCATTATGTCCCTCCTACAATTGCATAATTGCCTGAAAAGCTTCCTTTTCCGACAGAACCAGATGTGTTTACGTCTTGGCTTTCCTTGCCATCAGGCTGCTTCCGGACATCGTCACCTACAGCTCAGCCATCTCATCTGCGGAGAATTGGCAGCAGGCGCTGGAGTGCTTCGGCTACATCACCCGAAGGGGATGCGATGGATCCATGGGGAAAATCCGAGAAATCTGGGGGAACAAATATATATATATATATATTATTTATATAAACGGGGTTGGAGTTTCCTCTAGGATTTCAGGGAGGTCAACCCCCCTAAGAAGGACTGATTTTCTGGCGCGAAAATTCTTCGATTTTGATGAAAGGCTGCTTTTATCAACCCCCTCATTTTCTACAGAACAACTTTTGGAGACTTCTGAGTCGGGAGACCCTGATTTTCTGTGTAGCTTAAGTGCCCAAAATCCAGGAGCATAATTTTAGCATCTCTGGGAGGACGTTCCTAGATTTTCTAGTGGTCCCTGATTTTCTAGAGGGGCACTGGTAGGTCATTTTGTTTTGTTTAAACATGCTTAAAATATCTTAAAATCTAATCCCATTTCTCTCCTGTCCAAGTTTGCAACACTTGCCGCATCTCGCTGCATTTCATTGCAGCCGTCTCGGGGAATGCGCGGCAATGAGCATGGCATGATGTCATGTCTGCATTCGTTGTTTTCATTAAACGGTCGCACAGTGTTTCAGGATGTTTTAGGATGTTAATGGGATGGAATTTCGATGAAATTCGAATATTTCGAAAAATTCGATGGGTTGGATGTTGGTCTCTAGAAAAATGGAACCATTCCCTGGAAGTTGTTTTCAAAAAAATTGATTTCGATTTTCAACATTATACCATTCAAGCAGGGTGATGTTTTTCTAAGAAAAAATACGGTCCATAGCCCATAGCTTCGAAAATGCATTTCTTGGGGGGTGCCATTTTTCTAGGGTAGCTCGAATTCGTTTGATGTCTGTAGCTAGATTTTCTTGGGTCCCTAATTTATACAACATTCATTTTCTAGTAGAAAATCACAGGCCCCAACCGGACCCGGTAAACTGCCACGGTTTTCATATATATATATATTATGTATGTATATATAATGTATACATGTATTATTTCATTATTGTACGTGATTATCTTATCTTATGTTAATATATGTTATATATATATTTATATTATTTCATATTATATTATAACACATGAACAGAAAGTATAGATTTAAATCCAAGGTTTGGAGTTGCACATGGATGATGGAGATGATTTTCTCAGTTGAAGAACAAGGAAAGCCCGATGAATTCGGTGATAAAACATTTCTTTGCGGTGGATGTTCCTTCCAATCCATTGATGTTCCCCAAGAACCAGCCAAAAAAAGCCAAACATATAAACAACAGCGATAAATGCTGAACCTCTGGGATGGTGATGGAGGGAGGGAGGGAGGGAGAGAGAGAGAGAGAGAGAACAGCGATACAATGGTGGGGATTCTGGGGATACAGCGGGATAGACCTCCCAAAATATGACGCGGAACTCCAAAGAGTTTGGGGTTTGGAAGATGATTTTCCGCACTTTGGACATTGCTGTTTTTGAGTGGATGATATGGCAATAAAAATGAGTTCCGTGAGAAAACTTAATCCCGTATTCCTGGCTGGAACTGAAGGCGACTAATGATTGGAAAGTAGTTTTCCAATCCCCCAGGATCTAAGTTGGATGGCAACTCAGTTCCAGACCCCAGTGACCACCCACTTCAGTATCCCCCTTTTTGAGCGGATGAAATGCATTGGGGGTTCCCTGAAGAAGTTCTTCATGCAATCCGATGTTTTTATCAAGACTTGTTGGTGCGCCCAGCTGCCCAGCTCCCTTTGCACTCTACAGTTTGTGTGCCTTCATTTTCATGGAACAAATTTATCCCCCTTTTTTGGGCGGATGAAACATGACCTGCAATGGTCCAATGGTGTTCAAACAGCCATGGGCCCCCTGAAGGTGATGTTTGTTGATGACATATCAGCCCAAATCGCAAGCGGATATCAATCACTTAATGGATCTTAACAGGGCAATCATCCAAGTAGAGGCCCCGGAACTGGATAGGTACGGTACAATGATATATAAATGCACGCCAAGCTTTTATTTTGCTTTGCTTTTTGCGCCAACGTTTCTGGGAGTTTTGGAAAGGTCAGGCTTGGAATAGATTGAAAATGATTGAAACCTGGGTCGTAGCTCTTCAGAAATCATAGCATCACCTCAGGTTGCTGCAGGCGGCCTTGAAGCAGACCATCCAGGTGGGGGATCACCCAAACCCAGTCGAGCATCCTGGTGCCCCTGCGCCCCACAGGTGGATGTCATTGTGTTCAATGCTGCCATCAGCTCCATGGAGGGCAGGCAGGAACTGTTTCCACATGACTACGAACCAAAAATTAAAGCTCCCGGAGCTAGAGATTTGGACAAGTTTGGTGTTGGAATAAACATGTAACAGTTATTTATATAATTGTATCTGTTTATTTATTCGGGGACCAAGTTTGACTCAGGGCCATACCTGGGGAAAAATCAATCGGCTCGAACTCCCATCACCTCGTATGAGCCTTTCAGCCAAGACGATTTATTTTTGGAGCAGTTCAGATGCTGTAATGGAAAGTTTGCAGGCTTATTTTATCTATGTGTTCCATTCGTTTCCTATGTCAGGAGGATTACCGGTATGTAGCAAGATTAGCAGGATGGTGTGATGGTGGTTTCAAAATATCATACAGTATATAAATGAAATGTATTAAATGGTTATAAGTTATAAATGATTATAAATGTGTTTTTTCATAGCTGGGATGTTTCCTGGATGGGATGGCCGGGATGGCCAGCAGCCTGATATTTTCGGAACGAGCAGGTGGCAGATGGCGTTGGCCATTTTGGACACGATGGACATCCACGAGATTCAGCCAGATGTCGTCACAGTCAATGCCGCTCCTCCCAGGGGGTCGAGTCTGCAAGAAAAGAATTATGTCGAACCATGATGGAAAAAAAACATTGTTCTGCTCTAGATGTCCCACTAAATCATCCTATTGAAAAAACATTTTAACATGGAACTGGTGGTTTTTGGAAGATTGGGCGCCAACTTGGTGCCAACGACAGCGCTTCTCTGGAGCATCCTCCAAGCTTGGAGACATCCCTTTGTATTCAGACTCATTTCGCATAGGTCTCGAGATAGGTCTCCTCACGGCCCTCCGGGCACACGGGCACACGGGCACACGGCTCTCTAGGTTTAAGAACCGTGGTCAAATCCCACTTCCACATGCCTAGGCTGCAATCTCCGCGTGTGAGAAGGCTACAGAGTGGCCAACTGCTTTGGAGTTCCTATGGTCTTGATGGTGCTGGGCAAGTTTGGGGCCTGGGTGTCGAAAATTCCAAAGGATAAACCTAGATTGACATGCACCAGCTAGATCCAGCTAGTCCTTGATTGCGACAAATGCTATCCGTTATTCTGGTTTCCACGCAATTCAAGGGGAATATGAGTATGAGATTGAGCCTGGGCGGTTGCCCCAGCCGCAATTCTAACGATGTCCAGCAAGATGTTTGACTATGACTATGTACAGATTTGATCAGATTTGCGTCAATTTCACTTGGGGTGATCTGGGAAGCTGCTCCAACTTGAAGTAGAATCGCCCCAACCGATTATAGGTAAATCATGGCCACCAAGGGTGGACATATGACAATGTGGTATTTTGTTACTTTCTTCGGCCTTTTACCCCCCCTTACATTTGGGTGGGAGCAACCTCGTTGAGGGGTTGCTGCCCCACCGAAGCCGTATTTCAGGCTGTCCCTCTCCCTGGACAAGCTGCAGCTGGACGCTGATGTCATCACTTTCAGCGCCTTGATCAGCGCCTGCGGGAAGGGAGGCCTTTGGGAAGATGCCCTGGCCGTTTTGGAGTCTTGGCTGACCGGGCCATGTCTCATTGGTTCACCTGGCAGCCAGCAAACAATGCCTCGATTGACATGTGATTTTCCTGTCAACATGTTTGAAAGGTGAGGATTATTGAGGATTTCCACTGCCATGTTTGCCATGGCCATAGGAGCTTGGCCCCTTGTGGAGGGTGCACATGTCGGCACCAAACCAAGGACACGATGCCAAAGAGGCCGGGGAAACAGATGTTTTTTGGGATAACTTCTGGGGCGTTTCCACTTGACCCCCCCAAAATTGGCTGAAAGTATTGTAGAGATTTGGTAAATTTGCAGAGTTCGATTGATACTATGTTCACTTTGCCCTGGCAATGCAAAATCCCCATGTTCAATAGCCACATCCTCTGCAGATGGGATTTCCTTATAATGTTGACATGCAATTAATAACCCCCCCCCAAACATTAATACCTTGTCTTGCACAAACACATATCAATTCTTAGCTCTCCAGTCTAATTTCTCAAGTATGGCAGAAAATTATTCCACTCCAACCAGCCAAACCTAGGTTGACGCTGTAATTAAGCAAAAACGATGGCTTGGCCCACCAACAAACGTAGGTTTTGAGAAAGAATGCCGGTGAATTCTATATGGTCTTGAGAAAGAACAACGGTGAAATTTATCTAACTACTGCAGGATGATTATCTATACATGGGGAGAACCAATAGTGGTATTTTGGCCCAAGAGGGGGGTAGTAGCCCCTCGCCTTTTGGAAACGCTGATTTGTTGGTGGGATCACGCGTCATAAAGCATGACTTTTTGGTTTTCCTTCGCCAAGTCAAAAGGCGAGGGGCTACTACCCCCCTCTTGGGCCAAAATACCACTATTGGTTCTCCCCATGTATAGATAATCATCCTGCAGTAGTTAGATAGATTTCACCGTTGTTCTTTCTCAAGACCATATAGAATTCACCGGCATTCTTTCTCAAAACCTACGTTTGTTGGTGGGCCAAGCCATCGTTTTTGCTTAATTACAGCGTCAACCTAGGTTTGGCTGGTTGGAGTGGAATAATTTTCTGCCATACTTGAGAAATTAGACTGGAGAGCTAAGAATTGATATGTGTTTGTGCAAGACAAGGTATCTACGAAGAGGGCCCCTACGCAATCCATAAACCCATCCAGCTGTAACATATCATGAAATATCAATTCTAAAATCCCAGCTGGCCTAGTTGGAAACCAACTTGCCTATCGTTTGGGGCCCCTTTGCTAGACTAGCCGCAGGCGCGCAGCACGCAACTTGATCGCGACCAGCGCAGCTTTAAGCGCCTGCGGCATCGCTGGGAAGTGGCGTGAAGCAGTCGTCTTGTTGGAGGCTGCTGGCGGTTGGTTTCATGTGGAAAGACTAGGAAAAGGATGGATTTGCATCTTACAATCTAGAAAATGACTTGCCGTTTCACCGTTTGCCACAAATGACAATTGCCGTGTAATATCGTGTCATATATTACTAACCATCAAAAGGTGGATTTTGTCAAGGGTATCTCAGATAGGTCATGCATAGAAATAGAGGGCGACCAGGAACAATGGGTGTTTTTTAAGCAAAGGAATGGAACTGATCTGGATTTGGTTTGGACTGTTGAATCTGCAAAATTTATGCGTGCATGCAAGAATTGGTTTTAGGTTTCAAGGGCATTAAGGGCATAATAATGATGCAATTTTTGCACGGGTCAAATGGGCTATTGATGCAGCGGGTTGCCTCTGAGTTGATTGGGACAGTTTCACCTCTAAGAGTGGGTAGAGTTGAGTTGAGTTTGTGCATTTTTATATCTGGTCATCAATGGTTTTTCCGAAATTGGTAAGGGCCACAAATTCATATCCAAATGGCATCCTTTTTGTGGACAGAATCGGGGTATCCGCGCTTCTTCGATACTGCCAAGCCATTATTTTGAATAGCAACATCATCTCCCTCTCTCTCTCTCTCCCTATGTATGTCATGTATATATATATATCATATACATATATACATACACACATACTGATTACTCTTTATAAATATAGATATATAAATATAGATATAAATATATATATACATGTATAAGTGATGAAGTGACTGATTCACCTCTGTCTAAAATTGCGATTTACAACATATGCCATGCACAGTGGGTGTTCCGCGGCGCCACTTTGACTTCTCTGCAATATCCTCAGGGGGGATGCCAAAAAAATGCGTTCGAAAATGTTTTTCCAGTTATAGGAATCCTGCTCTTTGGCAACTTCAACTGGCATCGAGCAATCTCGCATTCATAGATGATATACCATATATAATATGATATACCTCTTGAACAAACCTGGCAAAGGAAATCCACCGAAATCCCCATTCTGTATACAGGCACCTCCTCCCAATGAACATCTATAATATAGACATGAAATACGGATAAACATCTTTAAGCTTAAACATGGATCTCAAAAAGAAAAAACATACAATTACTTCACTTCGAATGATCCCCACCATGGCATTTATACATTTTCTCACTGGCAAATCTTCTGGCATTCTATCTGACATATCTTCTGGCATTCTATCTGGCATATGTTCTGGCAAATCTTCTGGCATTCTATCTGGCAAATCTTCTGGCATTCTATCTGGCATATCTTCTGGCATTCTATCTGACATTTTATCTGGCATATCTTCTGACATTTTTTCTGGCATTCTATCTGGCAAATCTTCTGGCATTCTATCTGACATATCTTCTGACATTCTGTCTGGCATATCTTCTGACATTCTTTCTGACATTATTTCTGGCATATCTTCTGGCATATGTTCTGGCATATCTTCTGTCATTCTATCTGGCAAATCTTCTGGCATTCTATCTGGCATATCTTCTGGCATTCTATCTGACATATCTTCTGGCATTCTATCTGGCATATCTTCTGGCATTCTATCTGACATATCTTCTGGCATTCTATCTGACATTCCATGTGGCATATCTTCTGGCATTCTATCTGGCCGTTGAGGTCCGGCAGTGCCCACTGGGATCTGGAGCTCGTGGTTGAGGTCCGGCAGTGCCCACTGCGACCTGGAAGTCGCGGTTGAGGTCCGGCAGTGCCCACTGCGATCTGGAAGTCGCGGTTGAAGTCCGGCAGTGCCCACTGCAACCTGGAAGTCGCGGTTGAGGTCCGGCAGTGCCCACTGGGATCTTGAGCTCGCGGTGGAGGTCCGGCAGTGCCCACTGCGATCTGGCGCTCGCGGTGGAGGTCCGGCTGTGCCCACTGGGATCTGGACTGCGAGGAGGAGGAGGCGGAGGAGATGGAGGAGGAGGATGCGGAGGCGGAGGAGGAGAACAGCTCTGATAAAGTCTAACAACCCTCACCTGGCAGGTGGGGAAAAAATAGTCCAAACAAAATACACCCGCCAATAGCATTGGCCAGCCATTTTCCAGGCATTTTGGGTTCCCCTTTCTTTCGCAGCTCCCTAGGAACTGCTGCTCCGGCGCGCCGCGGACGTCATCGTCTACAGCTCCGCTGTCAGCGCCTGCGAACGAGCGGCAGAGTGGAGGAAGGCTTTGGAGCTGATTGGAGACATGGCATCCAGGACTGGGAGCTTGGGACCGGTTGGGATGTGGAGGTTTTAACTACCCAAATATGGGTACATACATGGATATACCATGATATACCCTACATTAAACTCACATAGATGTGGGCAAACCAATGGTTTCCCTGGGAAAAGCGATCTAAAATGGAGGTTTCCTAAGTCATGAGAATGCCTCAAATCATCCAAGTCATGAATGGCCTTGACTTAGTATGGAGAGAAAAAAACATGAGAAGTTGGGGTACCCCATTTTAGGAAACCCACCAACTGGGGATTGACCTGATTAAAGCCAAACTCTTGAGGCTGGGTGTATGAAACTTCTGTAACCTGGAAGGGTCCGTAGAGGATGACATAATTACTACATGGTACTACATGTATATATATATATACAGTACTCTATCCGCCATATACCATATACTATTTTTGAGATATATTAAATATATATATATATTAATTATATTCACCATGTATTATATACATGTGTATGTATAATCTATATATCTATATACTACGTACAATATACTATATGCTATGTAGTATGTACTGTATGCATTAGGTGTGTTTGTTGGCATCGTATTCTGGCAGAACACTTGTAAGGAGGAACATCGATTAGCAACAATCAGATTTCAGGAAATATCGACACGATATTACACAGTGATAGGGCCGTTTCATGAGGCAACAGCCATGGGGGTATGCCCAACAGCTTGCTCAATATCCAGCCGGAAAGCTCGGTTTCCCTCGTTTCATGGTCAGCCCTCCGTTGCAGGAAGTTGGAAGCCGACATTTTCTCCTACAATGCCGCGCCCCTTGACTCAAGTCGCGAAAGTCCAAGGGAATCATCTAAGTCCTTCATTACGGCCCCCACCAAACCAAGATGGACTACACGGAAACGGAAGAGGATTTTACTGCACCATAATTCGCCAGTGGAGATGGCAAGTTGGAATTTCAAGAGAATCACTGGGTGTTCTCTGAACCCACAGTGAAAGGAGGAACCTGAATTACATCAAACCAAACGAATCCAAATAGATTGCCTATGATTTTCCGGAAAACAATAGATTCTTGATTTTGATGATTTGCGTTTTAGTTTTACAGTAATGTTTGCTATAAACCCGCGAAATGGATTCGAGTGGAACAAGATGGGCTAACATTGGTCAAAAAGATCAACATGTCACGAGATGGATCCACACTGAATTTGCTAGATATCGAGTAACCCCTTCAAAAAAGATGCAGGAAAGCAACAATTACCGTTATGTTCGCATTATTTTAGATATCTTCGTAGGATTCTACCATTTGTATCCATTAGTTCTTATCTTTTTTGGGGAGTTGCTACATGAAAGTTTCCTAAAATGGGAGTACCCCCAAATCATCCATTTTAATAGGGATTTCCATGAAATAAACCATCCAGTTATTGGAGATCCCCGATGGAAACGCCCTGCCTCCTGAGCACCCAGGATCAGCGCCTGCGACAAGGCCGAACGCTGGACAGAGGCCTTGACGCTGTTGGCGGCCGTGCGAAAAACAGCGCTGCCAGTGGAGTCTGGGCCAAGTCCGAGAGGAAAAAATGGGAAGTTGATGTGCGCAATGTGGATGATAATGGCAATCAACCATTATTGTGGTGAATATCCTTACTAACAATCATTAATGTGGTTATAATGATGTTTAATCATGGGTCCATGATGGCTGCTAATTGGGCGATACGGTGATAATAGTTGAATATTTACAACTTTGAATGTCGCATAATGTGGGCAACCCAATGATAAACCCATCTGGGGATGTGGCGACGGAGACCACCTACTGTATTTGTGCACTATGTTGTGTTGCTAAGCTTTCTTCATCCAACAGAAATCTGATTTCACAGCTTCACAGCAGTTGAACCACATATTTTGGAGATCTAACTCCCTAAACTCCTCCAGATTTACATACTATGTGAAGATGGGTCAAAAAATCAAAGGGGGGATCGCAAATTTTCAGCTATGAAGCTAGTAAGCAAGAGGTAGGTACGGGGTACTAGACCCGTTTGTGACTACCCCAGCCACCACCGGTGCCCCAGGATGTGGTGACCTTAGCATCCGCCATGAACGCCTGCAGAAGCGCCAGCGCATGGCAACAGAGCCTGGCCCTGTTCGAAGACCTGGGGAAGTTCCGGGTGGAGGCCAACACGGTGGTCACTTGGACCATTGGAACAGCAAACGGTTGGTCCAGTGGAGGTTAGTTTTGACGATACAAATGGAGCATTATTTATGGAGCAAACGCTTCTGAAATCTGTTGATTTGCTCACATGTTGTTGTAGAAGATATTGTATAGGTCCACATGTGTGTATGCGTCCTTTCTAGAAGTACTACAATCCCTTCCATGTTGCCCGTTTTCGAGCCATGCAGCTGTAGTAAGGGTGGATTGCTGGAGTTTGGCCTGCGGATTGTGGAAATCACTAGGAAGAGATCGTTGCAACCGGCACTGCACACCTTGAAGAAGGACGAAAAAGGCGTGTAGCCTAGCCCTCTTGTGGGCTACAATAAAAAGATCGGCCTATCTACCTAGGTATTTTACCTACCTGTTGTTTACATTGACTGGGTTTCAACGATCCTGAAGCCACTACTTACTCGGCCATTGCGTTCCGATTTCGCTTTATCCTCAGGTAATTGGCTCAGCCCTGGGAAGCTGCGCTCGAGGGAGGAGACTTGATTCTTTTGGAAAAGTTTGATTTCACTGGCGGGAGCACCCAATGTTGGTAATTAGAAAACTTTTTTAATAAATATGTATATGTCTAGGGCTGCAGTCGACGTAACCCATGTAAGATACCCGTTTGTACTGCCAAAATTTAATCCTGAAGGTTTACTTCAAAGATATATATATATATGAGTTATGTGCAACTCCCCCAAGACCTACCTTTTGTGTACAGAAGCAGGTATGTTCCTGAATGCCTTGTCTTCCTTCTTATCTTATCACCTATTGCAGCACTGCATCAGGAAAGTATCTTGGGCGCATGTGCCTGGACACATCCTGCCCACATATGTAGCTGCAGCATAGCGCTGTAACATCTATATTTGACATATATATATATATCATTATTTTTAATTATACTTAATGTTTTCTTTTTTATGCTTTCAGACATGTTTAATATATCAACACAAATTTTATATCTATGATCTGATGCTTGCAAGTCTGATTTTTCAGTATCTTCTACAACATTTGGTAATTTTACATAACCTTTATTTAGGACTTGCCGCAATATTGATTAGGGGAATAGATGGATTGAAATTTAGTTTGTTTTTACAACAGAGTATAGCATATTATGCTTTACTCTTTTTAATGAATACAAGTTTTTGTAAGGTAGTTTCTTATAATGACTACCGGTGGAATTTATGTTTACTAATTTCATCTTGAGGTTTTACATGTTTATTTACGTAAGATTTTGCAGATAATAAAGGTGTAAAAAGTACAATAGATATGTATAAGACTGATCTCCAGCTATTTTTTTGGACATATTGATTTTACAACGCAATTACCTTTTTAATCCTCCTACAATTTCATAACATTCCATCAAGCTTTGCGTAGTAAATTGGCAATCATCACTCATATTCTCATTTGGTGTTAATTGTCTTTTTGGTTCTTGTGAATCTACGTTATTTCCATTAGTTGTTTCTTCAGCATCTATAATCTTTTTTTTGTAGAAGAGTTGTTTTTTTGCTGTAATGATTCATTTGTTTAAATTGGTACAATACAGATGATCTTGTAATTTCATTGCTTTAAATCCAGGAGTGCTTGAGTTAGATATCTTATTTGTTAAACATAAATGATTTTGATACTAAATTATTAAGTCAGTGTTTAATATATTTGTCATACAATAAATTGTCTTACATGTTTAAAGATCTTAATTTTGTGATATGTGTAAAGGTGTTAAAGGAGTTTCTAAAATTGGGTGAATATGCATTTTTACTTCGAAAGATCCTATATGTTTTATTGTGTCTTTTATCCAACCTCTTTGGATTCAAGATTCAAGATTCAAGGCTGAAGGCCTTCGGATTCAAGAAGTCTTTTTGGGATCTTGAATCTTCAATCCTACCCCCTTGGATCCAAGAAGTTTTTTTGGGATCTTGAATCTTGAATCCTACCCCCTTTGATTCAAGAAGTTTTTTTGGAATCTCGAATCTTGGATTCAATGTACTTTGGGACGGGTGAGATGGGAAGAAGAATGCAAAAAAATGCGGTGTTTGATCACGAAAAAATGCCCTAAGGCCCTAAGTTTTAGAGTCCAAAATGTTTAGAAAAACTCTATAAATACCACTAAATTTGCTTGAAAGGTAAGTCTTGGGGGGTACCATATATATATATATGTGATATCAACAAATGGATTAATTCTGCACATGTTAAGGGTTCGTTACATGGATAGAAAAAATGAAATATAGATATGTAGTAACAAAACATATAAGATGTTCTCTTGCCCTAGGTTGAGGACCATGGATTTTATTTAACACCATTGTTTTTCTATCTTGATAGGCTGGAGCCCAAGGAGTGAACCTCCCTGGGTGTATGGACATGCTTGGACCGTACCGTACCCCTTGACCCTGGAAATTAAAAAATGAGCATACCAAAGGTGGAATCACTGCCACTGTCAGATGTTCAACATGTCAGATGGCCCTTGACAGACCCTCACGTCTCAAAAATCATTCAAATCATCAGCTTGGTGAATGACATTCATCCCTTTCGGATATGATGTTGCCCATTTTTCACGCCAACAAAACGCCACCCAGTTGGTTTAGGAAGTGGTCTGCTGCGTTGCATCTCTTGTCGAAAGCTGAAGCACAGCTGGTTGAACTCAGCAGGGTGGCCTTGAGTGCTGCGGTGAACGCCTGTGCCCTGGCCCAAAATGCTGCAGATTTACAGTTGGCGAGTGATTTTTACTGGGGAAATTCTGCATTCTGAGTAGCTTAGAATATGGTTGGTACATGTTGGTACCCTCTCCTAATCTCTGAGATGTACCCCAAAGTGGGGGGTTAAATGGATTTAGCACGTGAAATGGGAAGAATCACCGGTGAACGGAACCAAAGGAATTTAATCCAACAAAGTCAGGATAGATATCAGGCAGCACATGTTTGGCCTTGAGCAGTTAACAATGGAATCATTTGGAGCCAGGGAGTTTGTGAAGACAAAAAACCTGGCAATAGAAAAATGTACTTTCTGCGAAGCCCCAGTGGCATATAATGTATTACAATATACGCTATATGGATGTTTTGATGATTCTGCCGTCAACGATCAAAAGTTTTCTTTGCCATGGTTCATGATCGAAACATCATGTTTGTCCTGGCACAATGTTCGCCACCTATTAATCAGTGTCCCCCAGAAGCCAAGGTTTAGTGTTGTTGTCGGTGTTTTCCTTCCAAGTCCCATAAATCATTTGGCTACTGGTTGGAGGGAACATTTACAGGAAAGACCCCCTATGAAATCCTGTTTGGTCAGAATAACCATGTTTCCTGCAGATGTTCCCTTCAATCCCTGAGGCGAAGTTGGGGGTGCCTGGAGGCATACCTTGGAGCTTTTGGCCAGGGATGAGGAGATCGGGGTGGATGATCCACGGCAATTTTTGGGGTGGATGTTGTTTTCGAAAAAAGGATAAACATCTGGAAATTAAGGTGGAATTCAAACATCTGTTCTTCTTGAAAATGGCGATGTGATATTGGTTTTCCAGGTAGGTATGGGTCAATATGTTTGGTTTTGGCGGGTCACAGCCGTCATGTTTTGGGGTGCCCAACTTCTATCCACATCCTTTTGGGAATTGGCAGCCAGACCCTACATTTCTTGGCAGTGAGCACGGGATAGCAGCTGATATGTGATATTAAAAATATGCTGGCAAAGTGAGTGAATGCATGTGTATTTAGAAAAAGGGTTATCCATATATATATATATAATATACATTGATATACAGTATGCATAATAGATCATCATAGTACTGCTATTTGTAAATGACATACACATATGGGCCACTTCCGAATTCCGACATTCCAACATTGGTGTCCAGGACCCAGACCTGATTACGCCGCTTGGACGAGCTGGGGAGAGGAAAAGGCCATGGCCCATTCATAGGATGATTTACCGAGAAATGGTGATGTTCCATAAGAATACTGTAATGGGTATTTAATGGCGTATAAATGAATATTATAATGGGATATACAACTATATTATATATATTGATGGTTTAATTATTGGAAAATCCTAGGATAATCATGGGAATACAATGGGATACATCTTCAGGCCCCCTGCCGCAGTCAGGTGTAGCTCCGCGATGCGCGCCTGCACCTTGGCTCTTCAGTGGAGCCAGGCTTTGAGTCTGCTGCAGGACGCGACGATTTCCACGAGGGTTTCGCCGTATATTTTGATTAAAAAAACGATGTTTCTTGGAGATTTCACTCAAAAACTTGGGTGCACCATTCCATGGTTGGATACCGTTATCAGTTGATGGCATGTTTGGACAGACAGATATGACGATAGGAAGGATGGTTGAACAAAAATTGTGGTTTCATGTAGCTGGAAAATGTTTGAAACATGGATCAACCAAGATAGTTGGTATTTGCATATAGTCCACAAAATACAAAGGTGATTGAACATGTGTTTAACCAGCAACAACTTCTGCGAAAGATAGAAATAATTAATTACTGCGGAAATATAAAGGCGGGAGGATGATCTGCACCACCAGGATTTCTTTCGCCATTTGAATTTCACACATTTCTTTCTTCAGGCATTGAAAAGCGCCAGCAAACATCAGAAGGCAATTTGAGCACAGTTTGCCAGCGCAAGTTCGTAGCTTGACGGAAAGATCCCTGAGTATTCAGAACTATCAGCATGTTTACTGTATGTGCATTGTCTTGTCTTGGTCGGCGCTTGGAAATTGCAGAGGGGCTACTACTCAGATTCATCTTGCAAAGAATTAGCCTTGCCGAAGTTTTCTACACCCTTTAATCGAGCAGTATTGAACAAGCTTGTAAGTTTCGTTCATGTGACTCATGTGGGGGTCCGCACTTGATGTTTGACGTTGAGAAGATGTGAACCTAAGCATCAAGCTACGTTGGTCACGTCATGTCACATGTCACAGTCTGCCAGGAGTTCCGAGCCAGAGCCATGGAACAAACTGCTGTGTCTTGGTGGGCTACACTGTGTGGGATTTTCAGAGATACCCTAAAAAGGAAAGGGATGCATATTTTTTGGACCTGAGCACCCTTTTTTTGGACCTGTACATGTTTTTTGGACCTAACTGGATTTTTTTTGGAGCTAGGGTCACAAAAAATGTGGGGGACTTCCTTGTGTGTTTTCTGGACCCTGTGGGGATATTTTTTTTGCGACCTGCATGTATTTGTGCTGGACCCATGTTTTTTTTCGACAGCCAAATTAATTGTTTCTGAGCTCGGCTTCTGTTTTTTGGACCCGTGCACCTGCTTCGTGGACCTTGCCTCCATAGGGTGGGGGTGAAACTCCATTGTTATAGGCGCTCACATTGGGCTGGATGTTTTTGGACCTTGGCGCCTTCTTTGTTGGAACCCGCACACGTTTTTTTGGACCTGGCACAGGGTGAGGGGAATTTAGATACTGAGACAAGATGCATGCAAGAAGTTGTTGATGCCGGGGAAGTTCCGGTATTGAAACATAAAAACGTAAGAAGTGGTGGAGAGGCCAGTGGGGGAAGTCTACGTATGAAGCGAAATGGATGCAGGAAATTGATGGGCACATAGGGGAAAGGGAAAGTTCGATATTGAAACAGGATGAGCGCAAAAAGTTGTTGAGAGATGAGGGGTGAAGCCTAGACATTGAAACGAAATGAGGATACATGAAGATACATGCAAAAAATTGCTGAGAGAAGCAGGGGGAATTTTTGGGACCCGAAAATGAATGCCGGAAGAGGGTGGGGGGAATTAGATATTGAGACAAGATGCATGCAAGAAGGTGTTGAGAGAAACGGGTGAGCATGTAGATATTGAAGCCAGGTGACCGCAGAAAATTGGTGAGAAAGAGGCAGGTGGGAGAGGGGAAAGTTAGACACCGAAACAAGCATGAACGCAAGAAGTTGCTAAGACGAGAAGCGGAAGTCTAGATATTGCACCCAAATGACGGTGCATGCAAGAAGCTGTGGAGAGACGAGGGGAAGCTGAGATATTGAAACCGCATGAATGCGGGAAGCTGTGGAGAGGCACAGGTGGGGGGGACTTCAGGAGGCCACGGTGGAACCAGATATATAAAACCAAATGAATGCAGGAAGTTGCTCAGGGGGCACCGGGAATTTGAAGCAAGATGCATGCAGGAAGTTGTTGTGGGGCACCGGGGGGAAGTATAGATATTGAAACCCAATGAATGCAGGAAGTTTAGTTTGATGAGAGGCACAGAGGGGGAAGGTAGATATTGAAACCAGATGAGCGCAAGAAGTTGTTGAGAGACAAGGGGGGAAGCTTAGACACGGAAACCAAGCTGAGATGAATGCAAAAGGTTGTTGAGAGGCCAGAGGTGAAGTCTTGAGACCAAGCGAATGAATGCACGAAATAGGTGAGAGGCACAGGGGGGGGAAGTTTAGGTATTGAAGCCAGGTGAATGCTCCCAAGTGGGGGCACAGAGGTGTGAAGAGTAGAAATTGAGAAGAAGAGGGCAGAATGCGAAGGAGGTGGGAAACCCAATGTGTCACAAGGAGATGGGCGCTGCATTCCGTGGAGAGTATAAATAATTATTGAAGCCCAATGAATGCAGGAAGTTAAAGAAGTTTGATGAGAGGCACAGGGGGGAAAGTTAGATATTCAAACCAGATGAGCGCAAGAAGTTGTTGAGAGACGGGAAGCCGATATTGAAACCAAATGCATGCAGGAAGTTGCTGAGAGGCACAGGGGCGCAGGAGAAATTCGGATATTGAAACAACATAAAGGCAAGAAGTTGTGGAGAGGCCAACGGGGGTAAACCTACATATGAAACCAAATCGATGCAGGAAGTTGAAAGGCACGTTGGGGGAAGAGAAAGTTACTGTAGATATTAGAACAAGATGAGCGCAATAAGTTGCTGAGAGTTGACGGGTGAAGCCTCGACATTGAATCCACATCGGCTGCAGGCAACGAAGGCCGTCATGGACAGATGTGTAAACGTACCGGCGAGATCGTGGGCGCAATGGTCGCAGCTGAGGGTGCCACATGAGTCAACATCGAAATCAATGTAACCTCGTTGGTTAGTATCCGGTCACAGGACGTATGGAAGTGTAGACGCGGCTGGAATGCAAGAAGATGAATGCAAGAACTGTGTCTGAAGAATTGCGATCAAGACGCGGCTGGACAGAAACTGGAGAATCTATCCAAAGGGGGTATGGTTTGGGAACAGACCGTGTACAGGAAAGGCTTCCTGCCATGTTGCATGCTAGCTGCTAGCGCGGTCAAGGCCAATGACCCATCCTGGGGATTGCGAAGCAGACGCTGCTAGGGCGGCTCTAGCCCCCTACTGTCCAGGCACGGCAGCCTACCCTGGCTGTCATTCCTGCCACACAGGTTGGAGTTCAAGGTTCCCAGACTGGCTATACCCCTCGCAAGCAGCAGCGAACTCACGAGGATGAGTGTCCAAGTTGGTTCAAGCTGTGAGGACAACACTACATGGCACTTCCTTCCAGGTTGCATGCTAGCATATGCTAGCGCAGCTCTAGTGCAATACTGTCTGAAAAATTGCGATGCAGACGCGGATGGACAGAAACTGGAGTATGGTTTGGGAAAGGGCCAGGTCGAGCAGGAGGGAAGGATGAGGTCCAGCAGGAGGGTGTGCAGGTCCAAAAGAAGGGTAGCCATCTCCAAAAGAATTGTAGTAAGGTCCAGTAAAAGTGTCCAGGTCCAAAAGAAATGTAACGAGGTCCAAAAAAAGTGTTTTCCAAAAGGAAATAGGCACGCAACAGATGTAGTTTGATGTGTTTATAATTGTACATATATATGTGTGTATACATATATATATATATACATGTATATACATCGTAAACACGTGTTCTCTGGTTTGACAGAACCTCTGAAGTGGCAGTACGATCAAAAGTCGCATGTGCAATGGTACTCCACAGGCGCCATTAAAAATCTCAAGGTTCAAACATCATGAGCCACGGACAAACCGCATGAGATCACAAGAAAAGTGAAAATCGGACCATTTGTGACCACACCATATTCAACCATATTCCTGTATTGTTAGTTTGTTTTCCGGCGCTGTTCTTGCCAAGGTTGTCTCGAGTCTTGCAATCACTGCTTGTGCAACGCAAAGCAATTGTTTGCAAGCGATACCACTTTTTGCCTCATTGGCTGATAACCTCCTCCCACATCCTTCCAAAACCAAAAATATATAAGATTTAATGGATTACAATGTTTAATATATATATATATATTTTTTAAAATATTTTGATATTTATCTATATACATAATGCTTCAATATTAATATTTTTTTAATAATATTAAAGTATTATGTAAATTATTATGTAAATTATGTATATACTACACATGTCTATACATATTATATATATATTATATTAATAGTCATTTCAATCATTAATCGAACATATATAAGAAATGCAAAAATAAATAGCTAAAAATAATAATGCCATGCGCAAATAAGGGTCTTCCCCTATTGGTTGCGAGGATTTCAGTATTTCCGGAAGTATTCCAAATGGATCCCCCTTCGGGTTCAAGCTACAAAGAGTATGTATTGCCTCGTGCCTCTTACAGAGGCCTCCGATTTAGTCAGGCAAACGGTGAAATAAAATCAAGGCTCAAGATTTTGTAGCTTAAACTTGTGAATTTCATTTAAAAAACGAGTCCTTTTAATCATGTTAGGCCATCATAGAAATCGCAGTGGCATTGTATGACATGATGAGCTTCAAAATGGCCTATCAAAATCAAACGGGCAGTTTGTAGAGACGGAATATGAGAGTATTCTGCTAATATGTCCTGCTAAAAGTGCATGTGCGATTCTTGAAAACGACATGGGCATTTTGTAGCAAAGGGTATGTCCTTCTATGTGAAAATTCCTCCTATGTCAAGGTTGTTCAATGAATTGTCATTTTCTTCGCAAGGCAATTTTCAGAAAAGCAACCTCATTCTATAGCCCCGAACTTGCGAATAATTTTTGTAACCCACAAAGTTAGGGTCACAACGTCTCCCTGAAATTCGAAGGATATATATAAATTGGATATTCCTAAACCCTAAAACCATCTAAAACCCAAAATCTTAAACCCTTTAGGGTCGTCCCTTATCGGGGTCTACGCAACCTCAAAGAGGTCAAGATAAAATAAGATCAAATTCGTATTATAATAATTTTGCCTGATATTTAAATATGATTTTAAACTTAATATAATAAATTATTTAATATTAATATTAATAGTGCTTTTTAAACAATGAATATATATATATATATATGTTATTAATAAATAACTAAATTATACATATATAAATTATTTGAAATTGTAGTTAATATATTAATATATTAACTATTATCAAATTATTGATAAAAGTAATATTACTACTAAAATTGCGATCTGGCCTTACACAGAGCGTGCGCGCGCGCAGTTTCCCGAGGCCAATTTCCCAAAAAATCTGCCACATGTTTGGGGAAAATTGGCGAATACAAATTTAGTCTGTGCGCATACAAACTCAGCCTGTGCTTCCTGAGCCTCCTGCTCGGAGGTCGAAATTTTACTACTTTTTTTTGGAAAATCCAATTTTGATTTTCTCAAAAAAGGGCAAATTTCTCTCCCCAGTCCGTGTCCCACTAAGCAACTGCAGTACGGTCGGTCGGGGTCGGTCAGGGGTTCGATTCTCCCCTGGTCCATTGCCGCTCGGTATTCAGTTGTGTTTGAGCATGTGTCTTCTGAATTTCCCACAAATCTGTCACTATTTTCGGGCTTTCACCCCGAGCTCAATTTTCCCAAAAATCTCCCATAATTTTGGGCTTTTTCCCGAATACAAACTTTGGGAACTTCCGTTTTGCGCTTCCGTTATTTTGAGTTTACCGCATGCGTCTACCGCTCTTTTGAATTCACTTTAAGATTTGCAACACGCATATCAAATTTTGGCGGGTGTGGCACAACATTGCTTGGCGCAGCAAGCACCAAAACGTCATGCCCATAGATATTTCAATCCTGCCGGTCGTGGGTACGAATGTCTTTTTGGTGCCGCTGACTTTGCATTGGAAAGGCCGCTGATATAGGCTCAACATGCTAGCGGAATGAAGTTGCACAACCAAACCAGTCGCATATTTTCATATGGCTACAGATTTAGTCATGTTAATCCTGTGGCGGTGCCCTTGGTGTAGACCGCATGTCAAGGCTGTTCACTGTTGCGCCCCAAGAAGTGCAAGCCGCAATGTGTACGGCATGCCCTCAATTTATTGCTACAAATTCCAATATTACGATCTGGCTGTACACAAGCCACTTCGGGGAGCAGCTTTCAATAGCAACTTTCGGGCGCAGCATTCGGGAGCCGCTTTGCAGAACAGCTTTGGGGAGCCATTTTGGGGTATAGGTTTGAAGAACCGCAGCTTTGGGGCAATAGTTTTGGACAGCAGCTTTTGGTAGCAACTTTGGGGCGCAGCTTTCGGGAGCCGCTTTGCAGAATGGCTTTGGGGAGCCGGTTTGGCGAAAAGGTTTGCAGAATCGCAACTTTGGGGCAACAACTTTGGAGAACAGCTGTGGGGCACAACTTTGGGGAGCAGCGCCGGGGAACAGCTTTGGAGACCAGCTTTGGGGAGCAGCTTTGCACGGCAGCTTTGAAGAACCGCAGCTTTGGGGAACACCTTTGGGGAGTATACTTTAGAACGCAACTTTGGGGACCAGCTTTCGGCAGCAACTTTGGGGAGCAGCTTTCGGGAGCCGCTTTGGAGAATAGCTTTCGGGAACGCTTTCAGAAACAGGTTTGAAGCATAGCCGCTTTGGGGCAACCGCTTTGCAGAGGTGCTTTGGGGAACAGCTTTGGGAAGCAGTTTTGGGGAACCGCTTTGGGGAGCAGCTTTGGCAAGCTTTCCGGCCTAACTCTCAGGAACAATTATTTTGAAGAGCAGCAGCTTTGGGAGCAGCTTTCGGGGGCAGCTTTACAACTTCGGGGAGCAGCTTTCAGTAGCAACTGTAGGGAGCAGCTTTCAGGAGCCTCTTTGCAGAATAGCTTTGGGGAGCCGTTTTGGGGAACAGGTTTGAAGAATCGCAGCTTTGGGCACAGCTTTTGGGAGCCACTTTGCAGAATGGCTTTGGGGAGCCGTTAAACGGCTTTGGGGCACAACTTCTTGGGGAGCTGCGCCCGGGAACAGCTTTGGACAGCTTTAACGGACCAGCTTTGAGGCAGCTTCGGGCAGCAGCTTTGGAGTTTTGGGGAGCTTCTTTTGGACGCAGCTTTCGGTAGCAACTTTGAAGAGCAGCTTTGGGGAGCAACTGTGGGGAGCAACTTTTCGGCTTTGCAGTAGCATTGACGAATGGTTGCTTTGAAGAACGACAGCTTTGGGGAGTAGTTTTAGAAAGGAACTTTGGGAAGCCGCTTTCGGAAACAACTTTCGGGGGCAGGCTTAGCAGCTGTTCGGAGCAGCTTTCGCTAACAAATTTGGGGAACGGCTTTGGGGAACAGCTTTGTGGAGCAGGTTTGGAGACCAGCTTTGGGGAGCCGGAGCAGCTTTGAATAGCAGCTGAATGGGGACCACTTTTGGGGAGTAGCTTTAGAACGCAACTTTGGGGAGCAGATTTCGGAGGCCGCTTTGGAGAGTAGCTTTGGGGAACGCTTTGGGAAACAGCTTTGAAGCATAGGAGGTTTGGGGCAAGCGCTTTGCAGAGGAACTTTGGGGAACAGCTTTGCGAAGCAGCTTCAGGGAACCGCTTCAGGGAGCAGAATTGGTAAGCTTTCCGGAATAATTTTGAGGAACAATTATTTTGAAGAACAACAGCTTTGGGGAGCAGCTTTTGGGGGTAACTTTACAAATTACTTCGGGTAGCAGCTCTCAGCAGCAACTTTGGGGAGCAGCTTTCGGGAGCTATTTTGGGGTATAGATTTGAAGAATCGCAGCTTTGGGGCAATAGCTTTGGACAGCAACTTTGGGGGACAACTTTGGAGAGCAATTTCGGGAAACAATTTTGGGGAGCGACAACTTTCCGGAATAATTTTGAGGAATATTTGCTTTGAA